ATAATTTGGTTCAAAATTATGTTTTAATAAGTATTGATATTTATTATTTTGTAAGTTAATAAATATTTTTAAAAAAATTTTTTTAGAAAAAAAAGAAAAATCTAGGTTGCTGGGTTAAAAATTTTATTTTATATTATGAAAACCAAGAAATTTACTTTGTATAACCTTATATGAACAATACAAAAAATTAGTTCATATTTTGTTTACTGGCATTTACTTTAGCAAATACTTTTTTAATACTTTTTTCTCAATACTACTTTGGTCTAAAAGTATATATCAAGAAACTAGCTATAAAACTTATAGATTATTTTTAAAATCTTATCAATAGTATCACTATATTTGGTACTAACAAAAATACATATTGATGTCTTAGCAACTATAGGTATTATGAATATATAGAGTGAAAAAGTGCTAATAATATCTATTAATTTTATAGATAAAATTGATAAGCATTAATCAACTATGATGCTAAAACTTTTTTAATTGCATAAAATATGCAAAGATTATAATCTTATTGTTCTGTTAAGAAACTTAAAATTTCTCAACTATACATGTTGATAAAATTATTTTGGGGTCTAAAACCTAAAATTAAAATTTGAAGACAAAATTGTTTTTGATCTATTTTACTTAAAAGATAAAATTTTTTGATACTTTTTTTGAAGAGACGAAATTATAAAGACATAACTATCTAAATTAGATTTGCTCTTGTATATAAAAATTTTTAATTTGCTCTAATGAAGATGAAATAGAGTTTTTTTAAAAACCTATTTTGGTAGCATGTATATTCTCAACCTAATATCCTTGCTTTATTAAAAATTAAAAGATTCACCTTTAAACTAAAATCATTAACAAGATAAGCTATATTAGATCATATACTTTATTTTGAATATTAAATATTTTATTTTTTTTTAATTTATACATATTTAACCCAAGACTAAGCTTAATTGTATATATTTTTTAATAGTAGTAGTAATTACCAGAGATGAATAATTTTCAACAACTTTATGCTTAACAAGAATCTAGATTGCTTAAAAATATTTGATTTTATTAGTTTTCTTTAAGAAATATATATAGTCTAGTAAATTTTATAATACTTAACTTTATTTTACTTGATGAATACAATTAATTGATGATTCGCTACTTAATTAAAAAATTTTTTATATTAGAATATAACACAGATCACATATAGACAAGCCCGAATTGAAATTTTTATATTATAAGTAAAGCTTTTAATTTTTTAACAAATATAGAAATAAAGTAGTACAGGCAATAGAATGATACCAAAAGCTTTGAATTATAAAATTATTAAATATCGATTCTTTTTTGGTTAATTTTACCTTGAACGAACGCGGTATTTCCTATATTAAACTTTAATATAATTAATACTTCTGACTAATTAAGATCTATAAAATTCAGTAAAGGTATTTATATATATTTTAATTGGCAAGTTTATAAAAGTTTTTGCTTCTAGAGGTAGATACTATACTAAGAAAAAAATTTATTAAATGTTATTGCCTACTTCATATTTCCACAGATTCTTATAAATAAGAACTTTTAGAAATCTTGTATAATCAAATAGTGTTTTAGAAAATTTGATGTTTATTTATTGTTTGATCCTTACTATGTATTAAGCTATTATTCAAGTTTATTATTATGCTATATTTTTTATTTATTTTTATTTATTTCTATCAGTAGTAAATAAAAGGTTAGTAATCTATTCAGGCTTCTTAATATTCACTAAAAAGAGATTCAACCTGCTTACTCACCTCAGATGCTGTAATTTGAATGCCCAACCTAATAAATTATGTTTAAACAGTTGAGATATACAAGTTGCAATCAATATAACACATTACTAGTTTATATTAAATATAAAATTTTTAGAAAACAAAATAAAGATAGACAAGTGGAAATAAGGATATCATTGATTGCATTAAAATTTCAACCTAAAGTAACGTTTTATGAAATTGTAATTGAGTAGATACTTTTTAATTGATTAGATAATATTCAAAAAGTGAGTGAAAAGAATTTGGCTCAGTGTTTTTAGCAATGGGCTATACTATAATTTATTTCAGACAGATTTACAATCACATATATTATCGTATATAGTTATATTTATATATTTCTGGTTTGCAAAGAGTTTTTAAGTTAATTAGTTATTCATAATTTATTATATAAATAAATTATTAATATAAATTTTATTTATTTAATAGGTTTAAAAGTTATATAGAACTTAGATTAGTAGGTAGTAATCTTGAAGCATATTAACTAACCCAAAACACAAATAATAATAAATATTTGATAATATTTCAATATACAAACAAAAGAAGTTTTTATAAGTTCCTATCATATAATTTTTAAGATTAATTAGAAAAGTAAATTAAAACAACTTTTTGAACTACAGTATCAAAAAATTTAATGAGAGTGCACAAAGCAGATTAGGTACATAGTGATTTTCATAATAGTAATGTATTGCAAAATCAATATATTAATAGGAATCTAATTTCTTATATCACAGATATAGGATTATCTAGAAAGAATGATGAATCTAACCTAGTAGTAGATCTAGAATTATCTAGAAAGAATGATGAATCTGATCTAGTTACAGGTTTAAAATTATCTAGAAAGAATGATAAATCTAACCTAGTCACAGGTCTAAGATTATTTAGAAAAAATAATATTAGAAGATAGTATTCATAATATTTTTCTTATGTTGCTCAGAAGTATTAAATAAAAACTATACACAATAGCTATGGGTATTTGTTGTAGTTTTAGTATGATGAGTTTTATAGATAAATAACTCGAAAATTAAATTTATACTGGGTTGGATTTCTATTTATCATCATACAATGCTTTCACTAGTATTAATTAAGCTTCATTATTATTCAATATCCATTTAAAAGCCATTCCTAAGTGACTTTCTTAATGTGTTTACTAATGAAAAAAATTGATTGTAAATATTACTTGGTCAAAAAACCTGAAGCTACAATCATTAATTTTTATAAAGCTACGCTAATTGACTAAAATTTACTATTGATAAAGTAATTAAAAAGACTATTTAAACATGTTCTTTATTTTTTTTTTTTTATAATATAGATCTTTAATAAGACCATCACAAAACAGTCTACTCTCATTAATATTAACATAAGCCATAAAACAAATTTTTACACATTTTTATATATTAAAATTCCCTTATATATATCAACTCTAATATAATCTCTTGTTAATATCACTATCAATATGAATTTAAACCAATTCAAATAGGTTAATATAAATACAGATACTGTACTAATAAATAAAGAAAAATACTGAAATTAATATGCAAAAGATAAATACTCTAGTTATTTTCACTAAGTATTACTCTAAAAATAAAATAAATAAAATAATGAATATATTTATCTAACTATATTGGAAAACCTATGTTTTATCTACCAAAAAGCTGCTAAGTTCTCAATTCTAATAAAATTTAATCAAAAATAAATAAAAAAATAGTTAGTAATAAAGCTTCAAAATGAAAATCAAAATTGCCAATACCCGGTAGTCTATGCTCTTAATGATGGAAAGAGATAAGCTTGTATATGTCCGAAGGTTTCTACACTCAATACATTAAGGTCTGACAACTTACAGAAAGATAAGCCAGTCAGAATAAATCAAATAAATAAAAATAATAAGTTAATATATATCTTCTCATACATGTTAAACCAAGGCTTTAGTTACGAAAAGGCCCTAACGATCTACTCAACCATGAGTTTTATACCACCTATACCTTAGCCCAGAAAAAAGAAAAAAAAAGCATAAGTAAATGAATAAAATAAAACTAATAAATAAAACAAAAATAAAAAGATAAAAAAAAAGGTCTACCTATCTAATATCAGTATATAGCTTTTTTTTTTTGTTTTTTATCTCTATATACCAAGCTCCGCTCTTAGGATCTTGGCTTTGATTTTTCAGAGATCTAATATTTCTTGCATTGGACCAGAACTGTTTTATATTTATTTATTGATTTGTTGCCTATTACTAACCTTTTTCTAAATATTCTAGAACTTCAAGATCTCTTAGCAGCAAGTATAAGAAGAAACTTCAGATACAACATCTTCTGTGAATATTTTTGGATTTTTCTTTATTAGCTTGGAGCTACAGGTAAGATTTTCTTCTTGGACTTTCTTGAAGTTATTTGGACAATTACTTGTATAGAAACAACTAGAGCTGGCTTTTTTTTTTCCTTGACTGCTTTATTTTTAGATTTACTTGAGATCCGGATTACTCTGATTCCTTGATACTGAGGTAAGATTGCTAATTGTGAATCTGTAGAACAAGAAAAAGATTATAGAATATATAAATAAGCTAAAAAGTGAAAAATTATTAAAAGAATAATGATACATATGTATATACGTACATATGTAATTGATTTTATACTTGCAAGTAGATTTTTGAGAACATATAATATCCTTTAGATTATAGGCTAATACAGGCAAATTTGTCTGTATTGGTATTATAAATATGCTACTAATCTATTTTTTTAATAATTTAAAATATTCAAATAAAATTTGTTATAATAATATTTGAAAATATAGATTATTTTTTTATAGTATTTATTTTTAGATTATAAGAAAAAATTTTAGATTACT